TTTGGGCTGCGCCAGATGACGACGAGCAGGGCAAGCCGAGCAGCGACACACACGGCCTGGATGTAGACCTTGGAAGCCGAGGAACCATCCATACTGTAATCAAGGGGTTTAGGGTTTAGGGTTTAGGGTTTAGGGTTTAGGGTTTGGGGTTTAGGGTTTAGGGTACGTATTATGAGGGTGCCTTTTTTGGGGGGGTTGGGTTCTGTACAAGGAGACTTGAAGCAAATAAGGGCGCAAAAAAAGGGTACCACAGGGGTACCAAGAAACGAAAAACACGTGGTGCAGGTAGAGAATGTCAAAAATAATGCGCGCCAGGCTGGACAGCCCAGTCATGTAGTTTAAATACGGAATTGCCATCCTAGGATTTAGGGTTAGGACTTGTCTAGAGTCTAGATCCAAAAGTAACCTAGGAATAAAAAGGGTGCCCTTGTTGGTTTGAAGGGGTTTAATTTTAAGGGAACTCAAATCCGAAAAACGGGTACTCAGGATCCTAGCATCTCAGCGTAGCCCGCATTCTCGATGTTCACCCCTGCGCGTGCGACTTGTCTCAGCGTGGGTGAAGACATGCCCGCAGATAGTAGTACCCAGATGGCGTAGTCCACGGCATCCGTCTTCTGACCAATCTCCTGCAAGATCCGTGCTGCATCAGCTGCTTGGGAGCACTTTGCGAAGGCAATGGTGCCTTGAAACCTTAGTTGCTGAGTTCAGAAGCCCCAAAAAGAAAGTTCTATAGGGGATTATTGTATCCCAAAAAGTGTATAACGTGTACTCACTCAGCTACGAAGAAACCCCTCGCTGAGTTGCCGCGCCTCTTGCTTTCCTTAGTTGCTGAGTTTCATAAGCCCCCCAAAAAAGTGCACACTTTTCAGTTCTATAGGGAATTCTCCTACCCCTAAAAAGTGTAAAGTGTACTCATTCGGCTACGAGGTTTCGGCTATGATCATTGACGCGGTCGACCTCCAGCAATAAGAAGAAGCACCCGCCACTGAGGATGACCAGAAGCTGCGCCACGTAGGCGACGTGGGAGGCCCCGCCTGCTTTGGTATACCTGGGGGGTTTTCCGAATTAGGGTCTAGGGTTTAGGATTTAGGGTTTAGTGTTTAGGGTTTAGGGTTTAGGGTTTAGGTTTGGGGTCCTATATGATAAGGAGAGGCGACTATTTAGGGGGTCTATATCAGGGTCCCCTGTTTTCATAAACCCCCACCTGCTAGCACCGCCAATCGTGTGCCACTGAACTAGCATGATGCCGCAAAGTAGGGCCCCGATCCTGTTGAAGAGCAACCGGCACCTGCTGCTTGGGATGTTTGGGGTTTAGGGTTTAGGGTTTATACTAACAGTCCTTGATAGGGATGATAAATAGGGGGCACTGGACTCCCGATTAAGGACTGCTAGTATAGGGAAAAAAGTAACATAATTAAGATTAATATAGGGATTTGTGTTTCTTATTTTTTGGGGGTTTCTGAAGCAAAAACAATAGATTAAGGACTGTTCGTAGAAGGGGGAACCACCCAACCTGCTGCTGTTGATGGTGGCACTGATCGATGCAACAACCACAGCGACGCTGAAGAGGACCACCGGGCACCAGTGGTAGTGCCAAAACTTCATCCACCCACTGAAGGACATGCCCAGAAGTCCTTTAGGGTTTAGGGTTTAGGGTTTCGGGTTTAGGGTTTAGGGTACCCTTGTTACATCGGGCTTGCATCACCGTCTGGACCTAAGAAGAATCTTTGCCCTGAACCCGAAATGCAACTCGACCAGTTGTGATACCTTTGCCCATGTCTACAATACATCGGCTCATGAGAAGTAGATTGCTGGGCTGTGCGGTATCATTATCGCGTTTACCCAACCTCCAAATACCTCCATACTTGCCTCTTGTGCTTTGCACTTTGGGGCTGTAGGCCATCATTCTGGGCACTGTAGGGTTTGGCACTGAGGAGTCTGCGCCCACTCCTGCGAAGACCACCCACATCACCGCAGCAACAATCTGCCTGCGGTTGGAGGCTCGCGCGATGAAGATGGTCTTACCTTCCTTGGGGGCACGATGAGCTCTGCAAGCCTCGTCGTCCTAGACCCTAAGCCCTAACACCAAAACGCTGAACTGCACTTACTTTCTTTTTAGAGCTCAGGGTTTAGCACTTAGGGTCCTAAACAGCTAAACCCTAAACCCTTTAAACCCTCAACCCAGGTTCTTCATGGGCCAGGTATGCCTCGTATCCACACCACAGCCTTTGGGCAAGAGCGAGACGCAAGTGCGTCATTGTTTCGTGGGTTTAGGGTTTAGGGTTTAGGGCTTCTAGGATTTACCGTGGCTGAGGTTGCTAAGGTAGTCTACAGTCTACAGTACACTTAGAGCTTTTTTGGCGAGCATTTTAAGGCAAAACTTTCTCCCAGCCCTAAGCCTAAGCCCTAAGCCCTAAGCCCTAAGCCCTAAGCCCTAAGCCCTAAGCCCTAAACCCTAAACCCTAAACCCTAAGCCCTAAGCCCTACCCTTAGGCAAAATGTTCGCTCCCCGAGCCTGGTGTAGATGCTGCAACGGTGGTTGGGCACGACGAGGACGCACGTCGAGGCCTGGAGGGTTTAGGGTTTAGGGTTTAGGGCTAGGGTTTAGGGTTTGGGGTTTGGGGTTTGGGGTTTGGGGTTTGGGGTTTCGGGTTTAGGGTTTAGGGTTTAGGGCTTGGGAGGCCTGGAGGGCCAGCGCAAAGGGAGATCTGCTCGGCGACTGCAGCAGCGCTCCAATGTCTAAGTTCTGCGGGTTCGCCAGCATACAACCTTATACTGGCTTTCAATAACAATAACCCTAAACCCTAAACCCTAAACCCTAAACCCTAAACCCTAAACCCTAAACCCTAAACCCTAAACCCTAAACCCTAAACCCTAAACCCTAAACCCTAAACCCTAAACCCTAAACCCTAAGCCCTACCCTAAGCCCTACACCCAAACCCTTTACCCTTTACCCTTTACCCTTTACCCTTTACCCTTTACCCTAAACCCTAAACCCTAAACCCTAACCCTAAACCCAAGTACATCCCCATTGGGGGCTACAAAAAACCCTTGCCTACTGTAACTCCCCAACGGCCCTGCTGAGAGATATAGCAAGCAACACCAGGCGTGCAGTGCATCGGTAGGCCAGGAGTGGAGAACTTTCCTATACTGAACTTGGATCCCTAGCAAAAAATATATTGAGTCTTAGGAATTAAAGTACCCAAAAACTTTACTATCAGCGGTTTCTTAGGAATTAAAGTGCCCAAAAAAGACAAAATGTTTCCGATTAACCCCTAAGTTTCGAGAGAAACTCGAAGATCCCCTCCTGCCAAGCATGGCTGATGAACAAGTCGCAGTCCAGGCCCTCGGGATTTCCTAGGATGGCCCCCCTTTTCAGGGTTTGGGGTTTAATTAGGGTTTAGGGTTTAGGTTTAGGGTTCAGGGTTCAGGGTTTAGGGATGTTCCTGAATATGATCCTCTGAAACCCAATTGTACGGGAAAATGCAAAGTGTCCCAAGGGCCTGCCGAGTTTCTCATCAACGCCCAGCTCACTTTGCCAGCTCGCGCTGTCACCGGCATGATGTGCTGCGTGTTCACTGTGTAGATGCTTGGGCCTCCGTAGCCCGGTAGCCATATTATGATAAGGGCATGATAAGGGCACCCTTGTTTTTCGGGTTGGTTTCTTGATAAGGGAACCCAGAACCTAAAACCGTAAACCCTGAACCCTGAACCCTGAACCCTAAACCCTAAACCCCGAACCTTGAACCAAAAAAGAAAGGCAAAAAGGGTACCACTGGGCTACCCAGGAGCCATACACCTGGTCAAAGCGCTGAAAGTCGTCAGAGCCATCATCAGGCGACTGGATCTCCCCCGCACGAATGGCGCTCCACACTTCCTAGGCTGCCCAGTAACCTAGGCTTAAAAAGGGTGCCCTTTTTTTGCTTACAGGGGTTTATAAGGGAACCTAAACCCCCCCCAAAAAGGGAATAAGGGCACTACTGGGCATCCTAGCTTCCTGCCACAGGTACTTCAGGTCTGAGCGGGTGACGCACCAGCGATCTGGAGTTATGGACCCATGCAAAGCTAAAGCCTCCCAGGTTGTGTACCTCCTGAGCTCACGCCGCATGGCCTGGCGCCGCAAAAACTGCCCGTGATGAGCCGAAAGAGGCACGCCATCCGACAGAACAGATGTGAGCTGGATGTTTTAAACCTTATGAACCCTAAGCCCAAGATCCCGAAAGTGTCACATATGGCATAATTATCGGTATGTAGTGCCGCACTGTGTCCTCGTACAAAAAAATAGAGGGGCCGTAATGATTAGAACAGGGTTTTGGGGATTATTATCGCATATTTATGTTCGATCCATAAGGGAATTCGATTCGTACTTATTCCCACCCCTATATTGTACTCCCTCTGACGGATTCTCTTAAACACAAATATCTCTAAGTCTAGTTTCTGAACGCCCCATACTTGGGAGTTCACCTAGCCGACTTTGCTTTCAAGGAAGCCCGAAAACCGCACACCAACCTTACTAGTTCTTGGTAGGGAACTCGGCCACTTACCTCCAAGCTACAGAACCCTTTGAGGAGAGATGAACTAGGGCACCTACTTCCCTAAATCCCACTACTCATGTCCCATAACCACACAAAAACTCTCTCAACAACCCGAAGCCAAGCGTTCGAGGAAGGTCAAGCTGTGGGATTGTATAAGTAAGGTCCAAGGTTAAGGGTCTAGGGTTTAGCACTACGAAGCAGCTCGGCAATCTCCTGACCCTACTGCAGCAATTCTGGCAAGTCTGCAATATCATGACTCGACCCACAAAGATGTATTGTGGGCCTTTAAACCCCCTGAACAAAACTCCCAAATTTTACAACCCTTGAGGGAAAACACCAGGAAACATCCCAAGGGCACTGATGCTGAACCCTGGACCCTAAACCCTAAACCCTAAACCCTAAACTCTAAACCCTAAACCCTAACCCACAAAGTCACCAAGACGGTAGCAAACTACCACGCAGCTCCTCTTCCATTTGCTGCATCACCTCCGCAGGGCTGCCGGGCAAGCTGCTTAGAGTTTAGGGTTTTGGGTTTAGGGTTTAGGGCTTAGGGTCTAGGGTCTAGGGTTTAGGGTTTGGGGTTTGGGGTGTGGGGTGTGGGGTTTCGGGTTTCGGGTTTTGGGTCTAGGGGTTAGCATCAGGGTACGCGCGCCGCGCGCTCCACGCTCCGCGCCCTTTGCTTTAGATTTAGGTGCTCACTCCCTACCGCACGCTTGCATGGCGCAGTAGCCTCACCCCCCCCCCCCACCCGAACTATGCTCCTTTAGGGTTTCGGGTTCCCTAAACCCTAAACCCTAAACCCTAAACCCTAAACCCTAAACCCTAAACCCTAAACTCATACAAGATCCTAGCAAGGGCTTCAGGCACCCAACAAAAACCCGAAGGTAGCCGAGGCCGCAGCCGGCCCCGGAATTTGCGGCGAGGACACCCGATCGTATTTCAGAACCGACTGTAGGATGGCCATTAGAGCCCCTGAACTAGGGTTTAGGGTTTAGGGTTTAGGGTTTAGGGTTTAGGGTTTAGGGTTTAGGGTTTAGGGTTTAGCGTTTAGGGTTTAGGGTTTAGAATAAAAAAGGGTGCCCTTTGTGTCTTCAAGGGAACTAGAAGGGGCCCTAAACCCCAAAAAAAGGAAATAAGGAACCACTCTGGGTCCTAGCCCTGTGAAAAATAATCCTCTTTCTAAGATCAAATATTTAACATACCCCCTGGGCAGAGCACTTTCAAGCAATTGAGGGGTATGGCAAAGTCATTCCTTATTATAAGGAATATAAGATCTTCCCTTTTGTAGGTACAGGGGTATGGTTTTGCTGTATGTCATTTTTCTTAGATGCTATCTTTCCTAGACTCCTATAAACCCAACACATATGAAACAATCCAAAAAAGGGCCCACCTGCAATGGGGTAGTTCGGAAACTACGGCAAGAGGCCGTCGGAGAGTTACGGCATACAAGGACAGGAAGTTCAAGCCAAACCCTTTAACCTGAACCCTATTCTTTTTTGAAGCCCTGAACCCCAAACCCTCAAGCCTGAACCCTCCCCTAAACCCGAAACCCTAAACCCGAAACCCTAAACCCTTTAACCCCTAAACCGTTAAAAGACCCTATCGAGGCCAATCGAGGCAGCCTTCTTTAAAGAACTCCGTACTCCTCACTTTGGCTCGGTTTAGGGGTACTCTACAGACCTGGTGGTTCAGAAACGTTCTAGAGATAATAGTCCCTAAACCCTAAACCCTAAACCCTAAACCCTAAACCCTAAACCCTAAACCCTAAACCCTAAACCCTAAACCCTAAACCCTAAACCCTAAACCCTAAACCCTAAACCCTAAACTAAACCCTAAACTTCCCTAAACCCTAAACCCTAAACCTCGCAGAAGTAAAGCTTCCTTACCCTACACGGGAGCCAATTTTACATGAGAGGGCGGAGTAAAGCCCATCGGATCCCAACAAAGGGTCATGGGTTTCCCTACTAAGTACCCCCCCTCTATGCTCCTTAGGTTCCTCCCTTTTATAACGCCAACTAGGCTTAATTATCCCTTAATTATGGGGTTATGCCGGGGACCTGGGGTGGGGTGGTATGAAAGGGGGACAAAGTATTTCGGCATCCGACAGCCTTGAAACCTACATGCGCGCAGGGAAACTTGAAACTTGACCCGACGGAACGTGTCCTGGCACACTCTTCTTTTGGGGGTGCAGGGTTTGGGGGGTGCAGGGTTTAGGGTTTTGTCAACCCTTCGCCCAGGAATTGTCGGCCCACATCCTGAACCCTAAACCCTAAACCCTTAAGCCTAAACCCTAAACCCTAAACCTTCGGGCTCAACGCCTCCACCGCGCCGGTCACGTTGCCCTGCCGCGCAAAGGCGTTCACCAGAGACGTGTAGGCAACGATGTTGGCCTCAAGCACTTCGTTTAGGGTTTAGGGTTTAGGGTTTAGGGTTTAGGGTTTAAGGTTTAGGGTTTAGGGTTTAGGGTTTAGGGTACGGGCTTCTTGCTCGCCAAGGGCTTACACGGGCCCGGCATGCCAGAGGGTATTGGGTTTAGATGACCTAAACCCTAAACCCTAAACCCTAAACCCTAAACCCTAAACCCTAAACCTTACACCCTAAACCCTAAACCCTAAACCCTAAACGTTTTAGATGCCACTGAAGCGGCTTCAAAACCCTTTCTCAGTTCTTGGCATGTAGGCTCAGAGGCAATGAGCTCCAGCCGATGCAATTTCGAGCAGGCTTCGAGATGCTCATGACATGCAATTATGCCTCAAGCATGTCCTGAAACGCCCTAAACCCTAAACCCTAAACCCTAAACCCTAAACCCTAAACCCCGTATTGGTGTTTCAGTAGCTTAATGTAACAACCCAAAGCCCATTCGAAACGCTAAGCCCGAAACCCGCCATGCTCGACCTTCTGCCGACAATACCAGATTGAGAACACCCCACGAGCTTAGCGTCATACCGCCGCTTCGTCTCCTAAGCCGTACCAGGATCGACTCTCATGCCCTAAAATTCCATAGTCAACCCCTTGAAGTGGCCTTTTCCCCTAAACCCTAAAGCCTAAACTCAAAACCTGGCGGAGGTATCGACCGAAACAATGGGTTGTAGGGCAAAAAAGACCATCCTGGCTAACCCTGAACATTTTATTGTGAAGCCCTAAGCCCTGAGCACCAGAACCCCAGAAGCAATGCGCCCAGTGTGCAAGCCGAAGTCCCTAAACCCTAAACCCCAAACCCTAAACCCTAAACCCCAAACCCTCAACAAGCCGAAGCCCATGTCCCAAGCCCTAAACCGGCAAACCCTTATAAACTATACACACTCTAAACCAGAAACCTTACATATTGAACCCCATTCACCCTAAAAACCCTAAAAACCCTGAAAAACCCTAAAAGCCCGAAAAATCCGAAAACACCCTGAAAACCTCAAAACTCTAAATGCCCTAAACCCTAAACCTAAGCCCCAAGCCCTAAACCCTAAACCCGAAACCCTGAACCCTGAGCCCTAAACCCTAAACCCTAACATAGTTAAAAAGCCTAAAAACCCAAAACACCCTAAACCCGATAAACCATAAGCCCTAAACACCCTAAACACCCTAAACCCTAAACCAGAAGCCCTAAGCCCTAAACCCTAAAAACCCTAAAAAGCCCCAAAACCCTAAAAACCCTAAAAACCCTAAAAACCCTAAACACCCTAAACCCTAAGCCTTAACCATAAGCCCTAAACACACACAGTGATCTTGGAGATGGAGTCTTCTACCTAAAAACAGTTAAAACCCTAACGCCCTAAACCCTAAACCATAAGCCCTAAACCCAATACAAGCTGCGCCTTCAGGTCGCGCGCCTGCATTTCGCGGAACCTCACAAGGCAGCGTTTTGGGTTGAGGTTTAGGGTTTAGGGTTTAGGGCTTAGGGCTTAGGGCTTAGGGTTTAGGGTTTAGGGCTTAGGGCTTAGGGCTAAGGGCTTAGGGCTTAGGGTTTAGGGCTTAGGGTTTAGGGTTGAGGACTTAGGGGATTTGTTCAGGATTCTGAGGGTTATTGCGGGGGCTCTAAGTAGAGTGAAGGAATCTCCAGGAACACTCGCTTGCAACCTAAGGCATACAGGGGAACCCCTAGGTGGCCATCTAAGGTATACAGTCGGGATGCCCTCAACCCTCAACCCTAACACCGTCAACCCTAAACCCTAAACCCTAAACCCTCAACCCTAAACCCTAAACCCTAAACCCTCAACCCTAAACCCTAAACCCTAAACCCTAAACCCTAAAGCGCTGTGGGCAGAGGATGGCGTTATAACTTCACCGAGGTGCTAAGGGTGTCATACCACATCGAGCCCTCGCATTTAGGGTTTACTATAGGCGCCTGAAAAATCAGAATAGGGTTTGTGGGGGTTATTATAAGTACATGTATAAAGGGACCCTAAGGGAAGACTATTGGCAATTATTGCGACCCCTAACCCTAAACCCTAAACCCTATATTAGGGTGTTTAGGGTTTAGGGGAAGGATGGGGCCCTCCCAGATCGGTCTCGAAACGGAATGCTGTTTTCTCGTTTCTGAAGATGGCCGCCCACAAAATCTCGCGTCCGGCTTGTGGATGCCCTAAACCCTAAACCCTAAACCCTAAACCCTAAACCCTAAACCCTAAACCCAGAGAGCTGGCCCAACTTGAGCAAGACAGGCTTGCCAGCAGACTTGCCCCCGTGGCAAGTGGACGAACCGTGCTCTGGAGTGCCCGCAGGACATGGGGCGTGCACCGCTCATGGGTTTCCCTACTGTATTCTACCCCCCCCCCCTAGGTTCCCTTGCAAAATTATGGCTTTTTAGGGATAACTAGGCCTAATTAAGGTTATTTACGGGGGAACCTAGGGGGAGGGTAGTCTAGAGGGGGGTAGCAGGGGGAACCCTGATTCTCGTAGTAGTGGGGGAGGTTCTCCACACACTCCGTCTTCGCCTCTGGCCAGGAGCCCTTCGGGCAGAGATTCTCAACCTTTCCCCTTTTGCCTGAAGCAAACTTTGCAAAAACACACACATACACACACTTAGGGTTTAGGTGCACTTCTCGATGTGTGCGTGAAGGGTTTAGGGTCTAGGGTTTAGGGTCGGCTCTCATGCTACGATGGTCAACTCGTTAGCCTACATCCACCCTGGGCGGGGTTTAGGGTTCATGGCTGGGCACGAAGTGTGCAAGACACCAGCTGCAGATGCAAACAACCCTAAACCCTAAACCCGAAACCCTAAACCCTAAACCCTGAACCCTGAACCCTAAACCCTTTACAAACCCTAAACTCCTTTATAAACCCGAAACCCGAAACCCTTTATAAACCCCAAAACCCGCAACCCGAAACCGCGAGTCGACAGTGCCAGCCGCAGTGCGGCTGAAGCGAGATGCACGTGCTCAGCCCGAAGTCCTAAAACCCAAAAACCCTAAAGCCCTAAAACCCTAAAACCCTAGAACCCTAAAACCCTAAAACCCAAAAACCCTAAAACCCAAAAACCCAAAAACCCAAAAACCCTAAAACCCTAAAACCCTAAAACCCTAAAACCCTAAAACCCTAAAACCCTAACCCCCGAAGTCGAAGGCGGAGGCCACTTTCATTGGGGTTTAGGGTTTAGGGTCTAGGGTCTGGGGTCTAGGGTCTAGGGTTTAGGGTTTAGGGTTTAGGATTAGGGTTTAGGGTTGGGGGTGGCTTGCGAGCAAAAGATCTAAGGTGTTGGAGCAGAAAACGCTGGCAACAGGCCTATATAGGTTCCAGTCGTAGTTACTACCCTAAACCCTAATCCTAAACCCTAAACCCTAAACCCAGGCTGTTCTCCTGGCGAGAAATGGGACTCTCTCGGAAGGCTCGCAGGCATTCGTTCATGCTCAAACACTCGCTGCGAACTTCCGGTTGCATCGACAGCAATCCCCGGAAACAAAGGGGAATAGGCCCCGATGTACAGGCCAATCCTACTGCTGAGGGCGGCAAGTGGATGGATCAAGATTGGATCGATGGATAAACCAAGGTGGGAATGAAGAGGATTGGAAAGAGGGAAGAAAGGTGTGCTAACCTTGAGTTATAGTGTTTTCCCTAACCCTAAACTTAAACCCTAACCCTAAACCCTAAACCCCCCCCAAGCGCCGGTTTCAGGTTCAGGGCTCGGATGCGAGCTAGGCTGCAGCGCAGAGGCTTCGGCAGCAGCACCAGCCTGGGGTTCGCAGGCTTTGGGGTTGAAGAAGGGTTTAGGGTTTAGGGTTTAGGGTTTAGGGTTTCGGGTTTCGGGTTTAGGGCTGTTTTTGTGCTCCCGCTCCTTGGTTATAGGCACGCCTTTGCCTTACGGTAGGGTTTAGGGTTTAGGGTTTCGGGTTTAGGGTTTACGGCTGTTTTTGTGCTCCCGCTTCGGCACGCCTTTGCCTTACGGTAGGGTTTAGGGTTTAGGGTTTCGGGTTTAGGGCTGTTTTTGTGCTCCCGCTCCTTGGTTATAGGCACGCCTTTGCCTTACGGTAGGGTTTAGGGTTTAGGGTTTCGGGTTTAGGGTTTAGGGCTGTTTTTGTGCTCCCGCTCCTTGGTTATAGGCACGCCTTTGCCTTACGGTAGGGTTTATTTAGGGTTTCGGGTTTAGGGTTTAGGGTTATAGGCACGCCTTTGCCTTACGGTAGGGTTTAGGGTTTAGGGTTTCGGGTTTAGGGTTTAGGGTTTAGGGTTTTAGGGTTTAGGGTTTAGGGTTTAGGGTTTAGGGTTTAGGGTTAGGGTTTAGGGTTTAGGGTTTAGGGTTAGGGTTTTAGGGTTTAGGGTTAGGGTTTAGGGCTGTTTTTGTGCTCCCGCTCCTTGGTTATAGGCACGCCTTTGCCTTACGGTAGGGTTTAGGGTTTAGGGTTTCGGGTTTAGGGTTTAGGGCTGTTTTTGTGCTCCCGCTTCGGCACGCCTTTGCCTTACGGTAGGGTTTAGGGTTTAGGGTTTCGGGTTTAGGGCTGTTTTTGTGCTCCCGCTCCTTGGTTATAGGCACGCCTTTGCCTTACGGTAGGGTTTAGGGTTTAGGGTTTCGGGTTAGGGTTTAGGGCTGTTTTTGTGCTCCCGCTCCTTGGTTATAGGCACGCCTTTGCCTTACGGTAGGGTTTAGGGTTTAGGGTTTAGCTCCTTGGTTATAGGGGCCTTACGGTAGGGTTTAGGGTTTAGGGTTTAGGGTTTAGGGCTGTTTTTGTGCTCCCGCTCCTTGGTTATAGGCACGCCTTTGCCTTACGGTTTAGGGTTTAGGGTTTAGGGTTTAGGGTTTAGGGTTTAGGGTTTCGGGTTTAGGGTTTAGGGCTGTTTTTGTGCTCCCGCTCCTTGGTTATAGGCACGCCTTTGCCTTACGGTAGGGTGTAGGGTTTAGGGTTTAGGGTTTAGGGTGTTTAGGGTTTAGAGGTTTGGGGTTTGGGGTTTGGGGTTTAGGCTTAGGGTTTAGGGTTTAGGGTTTAGGGTTTAGGGTTTAGGGTTTAGGGTTTAGGGTTTAGGGTTTAGGGTTTAGGGTATAGGGTATAGGGTTAGCGGCTAGGGGTTAGGGTTTAGGGCTTAGGGTTCGGGTTTCGGGTTTAGGATTTAGGGTCTAGGGTCTAGGGTTTAGGGTTAGGGTTTAGGGTTTAGGACTAGATGGCACCTCTACCTCTGCACGGTGCGACTGTTGAAAGGCCAGCAGTCCGCAGCACTTAGCGGGAATATGTCTATAAAAGGATTCTAATGAGAACCCCAAACAGGGAACCCCAAGAAAAGAGTAGGAATACACAGGGAAAATACGGACCCTGGTAGGTGTTTGTCCTACTTGTGTTCCTCCTCTATTCTTGGGGTTCCTTGTTTGGGTTTCCCAGATTGAAGTCCTTTTAGTTTCGGTCAATTCAGAAGCAGCAGCCCCCAAGAACCACACGGACCTCGTTTTTCAAGCGTCCTGCTTCACATCGGTTGGCTGGGCCCTAAACCCTAAACCCTAAACCCTAAACCCTAAACCCTAAACCCTAAACCCTAAACCCTAAACCCTATTCTTGACTCGAGCCCTTTGGGCTGCTTCCGGGTCAGAGCTCCTTGCGGCGTACCCGCACAGCCTCACGCTGCACAAGCGAAACGGACCCAGGCGGATCCCTTGTGCCAGGCTCGAACCGATCCTTGGTAGCCCTAAACCCTAAACCCCAAACCCGAAACCCTAAACCCCAAAACCGAAACCCGAAAACCTAAACCCTAAACCCTATATTATAAGAATAAGGGCACCCTTTTTTGGTTTTTTTTATAAGGGAACCTTGAACCAAAAGAAGGGAAAAGGTGCCACTGGGCTACCCAGGATCCACACGTGGGAAAGGCCCCTCTGGCACCGACTTGCCCAGGAATTCGCACAGGGGGTCCCAGCCGTCAGACATGTTGAAGATGAGGAGCCGATCCTGAGTTGCTGAGTTCATAACACCCACCCAAAAAGGGTACACTTGCAGTTCTCTAGGGTTTGTAGTATCCCAAAAAAGTTGTAAAGCGTTCCTAGATCCTAAACCCTAAACCCTAAAACCCTAAACCCCTGACCCTAAACCCTAATCATGTTGTCAAGGGTCTTTCGGAATTGTGCGGAGGACCCTCTCCTTGTGCTGCCGGAACCCCGACAGGCATTTCTCCTTTACCTCTGGGTTGTTGCGGCTGTCCTTAGCTCCCAACCTCTTTAGGGTTTAGGGTTTAGGGTGTAGGGTTTAGGGTTTAGGGTTCTTTGGAATTTAACGTCACATGAACTGCCTTAAGAACCCCCGACCGATCTTTTTTTGGGTAGGCCCTTGCATAGGTAACCTACAATAGTAGGAGGTTTTGGGGTTCAGAAGGGGTTTAGGGTTTAGGGTTTAGGGTTTACCCTAAACCCTAAACCCTAAACCCTAAACCCTAAACCCTAAACCCTAAACCCTAAACCCTAAACCCTAAACCCTAAACCCTAAACCCATGGGACTTTGCCCTTGGATCCCCAAGAGCGTGCCCTTGGGCTTTGGGACCCTTGTGAAGGATCCTCTAAGGCCTTAGACTCAAAGGGAATCTACGGGCCATATGAGGAGTGCATTTAGGGAACCTCTTAGGGGTACATCTTTAGGGGGTCTGAGTATGACTCCCTTGACTAAGCCTGCACAGTCTAAATTCGGGCACTCATGGGCGCCAAGGGTCCAGGGTTTTGGGGCTCAAGGTTTGGGCTTTAGGGTGTAGGGTGGGTTTAGGGTCTAGGGTTTAGGGTTTCGGGTTTAGGGTCTAGGGCGCAAGCGGCAGCCCAGATTCCAGGTCGTCAAAGCGACACCCCCAAAGATGGCATGCTGAGCACTCGAAATGGTCGGACAGGAAGTCCGAGATAGGGTCGGCCTGCTAAACCCTAAACCCTAAACCCTAAACCCTAAACCCTAAACCCTAAACCCTAAACCTTGGGCCATCCGGGTGGGTGCAGAGCCTTCGAAGCGTTGGAGTGTACTCTGCCCCTGGTTCGTCGTGGGGAATGAGGGAATGAATGAGTCAGCACATATCCCCCAGGGTTTAGGGTTAGGGTTTAGGGTATAAACAAATAAATAAATAAAGAAATATATATATATATATATATACATATATAGACATACATGCCCTTTAAGGAATTATGTAGGGTACCTCATTCCCTCCTTCGTAAGGACAAGTAAGAAAACTCTTTCGTGTGAGTCCTGTGATGTCTGCAAGGCCACCATGCGATTGAATGGCTCCTTCCACTTGTACTGGCTAGGCTCTTTCGGATAGCCTTGGCAGCCACAGCAACCATGCCGCGACAAGGATTTAGGGTTTAGGGCTATAAGGCTAAAGGGCTTTATAAAGTTTAAACCCTAAAATCCTAAGCCCTAAACCCGAAACCCTAAACCCCAGAGTTGCAGGGTACCACTGGGCTACCAAGCAGCCCTGATGGTAAGCCCCCAGGTGGTCGAAGAAGTGAAGGTAACTTTCCTGGGTTCAAACTCTCTGAAACAATCTTTATACTTAGCGTTTAGGGTTTTGGGTTTAGGGTTCCAAATAAAAAAAAATGACCCAAAAACCAACCTAGTGTCGTACCATCGCTCTGGATCTGTGTCGGTGTACACGAACTTTGCATCTGGCATAGCGTGCAGAACTTCCTCGTACATCCTGGGATGGTAAAAACCCTCTGACAAATTATTCCTACATGTGACCGTCTTAAACCCAAGAAAGGAAAATATCCCTAAACCCTAAACCCTAAACCCTAAACCCTAAACCCTAAACCCTAAACCCTAAACCCTAAACCCTAAACCCTAAACCCTAAACCCTAAACCCTAAACCCTAAACCCTAAACCCTAAGTCAAGGACCTGCCGAGGAGCAGGTGCAAGGGCTCATCCATGGCAGCGTCGAAGCCTTCCAGGAGATCCATGGGTGGCGTGCCGCCTTGCAAGAGGTAGGTGCAGAAGGGATCCCGGAGGCCGGTGTAGTAGCCTTGGTAGGGTTTAGGGTTTAGGGTTTAGGGTTTAGGGTTTAGGGTTTAGGGTTTAGGGTTTAGGGTTTAGGGTTTCCGAAATTAGGGGTACCTTGTTGGGGTCCTTATTATAAGGGAATCCTGGGGTCGCTTGTTTTCGTAAACCCCCAGGTTCAGGGTTGAGGGTAGTAGCCTTGGTAGCCCAGTAACCATATGGGGGTTTCCGAAGGAAGGGGTATCCATTCTTGTCGGGGTTCCTGTTAAGGGGGTTAGAGGTTTTTTCCAGGGGTACCCCTACTTTCGGACTTCCACCATATTACGGTAGTAAGGGTTCAGGGTTAAGGGTTTAGGGTCATCATGAGGGTGCTCTTTTTGGGGTTGGCTACTTTACCAGGGAACCTTAAACAACAAACCCTAAACCCTAAACCCCAAACCCCAAACCCGAAACCCTAAACCCTAAACCCTAAACCAAAGGGTGCCACACAGGGCTACCAGGTAGCCGGTCCAGAGGCCGTTCATGCCCAGGATCTTGAGTGCCTCGAACATGCTCTGCGTGCCCGAGCGCGGGGCGCCCACATCGAGGACGAACTCAGCCGAAGAGAGTTGAAAAAGGCATGCCTCGGAGGTTTAAGGGTTTAGGGTTTAGGGTTTGGGGGTTGGGGTTTGGGGTTTAGGGTTTAGGGTTTGGGGATTAGGGTTTAGGGTTTGGGGTTTGGGGCTTGAGGCGTAGGATGTTCGGCTCGCCTCGGTATAGCCAAGTAACCAGGGGGTTTACGACATTCGCGGTACCTTCTTGGGGTCCTTACTATCAGGGGAGTCCTACTATTTGGGGGGTCTATTTTAGCGGGCTTGAGTCGGGAACTAACTTGGGATGTTCTGCCTTATCCCTAAACCCTCGACCCTAAACCTTAAACCCTAAACCCTAAACCCTAAACCCTAAACCCTAAACCCTAAACCCAACAGTCCGTCACTGGAATTATAGTACCCCTGTTACAATCCCTACTAAGGACTGTTAGAATAAGGGGGACATCCCAACCAAACACCATAGTGTAACAAGGGTACCCTTTTTCGGGAGATGTCACTTTTAGAAGGGCACCTAGAACCCAAAACAAGAGCAAAAAAAGTGTACCACACCGGGCTGCCAAGTTGCCAGGCAAAAGCAAAGCCTCCGCATGGTGTTGATATGGATACTGCTTTCTTTTACGCCGCTCTTGGGGTTTTTAGGGCGGCTTTTTGGCGCTATCTGTCATGAGCCAGTGGCGAGCGGCGGGAAGAACCCCTAAAACTGAAACCCTACACCCTAAACCCTAAACCTTAAACCCTCAAGTATGGTTTCGAGGCTTCCCGGCCTTACATGCCTCTTGCGTGGCGTTTGGGGTGTGCATGCTCTCCGGGGCTCCGCAACCACGACCGTCGCGTCATGCAAGGTCCATGCTTGCTCAAGCCCTGAAACCTAACAGCAAAAACCCTAAACCCGAAACCCTAAAGCCTAAACCCCAAACCCCAAACCCTTTGAACCCTCAACCCTACACCCAAAGCCCTAAACCTCAACTGGCCAGCCTTCCCCGCAGCATCGACCAGCGACGAATAGGTGATGGCGTCTGGGCTCAACTGCCTGGGGAGGTTCTTCTTCTCTAATAGGGCCCTAAACCCTAAACCCTAAACCCTAAACCCTAAACCCTGAACCCTATAGACCCCAAACCGAATAAGGAAGGAGGGTTCATTGGCCTCAAAGAAACTTAGGGAGCCTTACCGAGCAGCCTGGAGTATCAGGGAACCTAGATACCCGCTTGCACTCCCCTCTTTTGAGGTGTATACACATAACACAGAGAGAGAGATATACATATACATATATATATATATGTAGATATATATATATATATAAGATTAGACACTGCTCCCTTACCCCAACACCAATCCTTAGTTGTGACTTCTGGGCATGGAGACTGAGAAGAGCTTTGGGCTTAAACGCTGACACCTACATTGATATAGGCATAGGGCTTCTGACAACCCTCAACTCTACATCGAACAAGCTGCCTAGTGCCCTGAGGCAATTGAGAAAGCTCGCTGCGCCGACTTTGCTGGCAAGGGCTGTTCACCTAAACCCTAAGCCTTAATCCCTAAGCCCGAAGCCCTAAACCCGAAACCCTAACCCTAAGCCCTAAACCCTAAACCCGAAGCCCTAAACCCTAAACCCTAAACCCTAAACGAGGGACAATCTACGGGACAGTCTGAGGGGCAGGAGACCAGGGGAGGAGTATGGACTACTATGGCCGACGGCCATGCATGGCCCACTACGTCCTCTCGCGCTTCACTCCAAGGGGACCTAGATCTCATGAACCCTAAACCCTAAACCCTAAATCCTAAACCCTAAACCCTCAACCCTAAACCCTAAACCCTAAACCTTAAACCCAGTTAAAGCGACTCCCAGAAGAGGTTGGCGAGGGTTTTTTGCCCGGGTGTGGGTCGGCGCCTTCGGTCCATCTCCCGCAAGAAGCCTTTTGCTGAAGCGAAGTCTCCTCCACAACTTGCTGGACGCAGGGTTTCGGGATAGCCCCAAACCCTAAACCCTAAACCCTAAACCCTGAACCCTAAATCCTAAACCCTAAACCCTGAACCCTGAAGTTTGGGGATTTAAGGCTTGAAGAGCCTGCTCAGAATGCAGCATGCCTTAAGGGATTCTGAGGGTTGACGGCTTGAGCTCAAGAAGCCAAGGTTTCGAAGGTTTAGGGTTTAGGGTTTAGGGTTTGGGGTTTGGGGTTTAGGGTTTGGGGTTTAGGGTTTAGGGTTTGGGGGTTTAGGGTTTCGGGTTTAGGTCCCATGAACATTAAAAAATGTATATGTAAGAGTGACTTAGGGTTTAGGGCTTCGGGTTTAGGCCCAATTCTAACGGTGGGCAGCATGTATCTTGGGGAAAGACGGCGATGTACAGCAACAAAACGCAACGGTCCTTCCAGCGCATAGCCATTGATGAGTATGCTGTACCTCTTTGAAAACATGAAGGATTTCAGAAATTGAAAGACCTCAGTACCTTTCTTTCAGAAGGGACTATGTAAGAAGTATGGCCGTAGGATCATGGGTTTCCGTACTACACCGCTCTATACTACCCCCCCGGGTTCCTCTCTCAAATAACCTTAATTGGGCTTAACTATCCCTAAACAGCCTTTATTTTGGGGGGAACCCAAGGGGGGGGGGGGGTAGCATAGAGGGGGGTAGTACTAAGGGAACCCATGATAGTAATGATAGGAACGACACTCAAGATGCCGAAGTTGGGTTCAAAAAAACGAAGTTGGGTTCAACATAAATACTAAAGATCGAAGTTTTTCGGGATGTGCAGGCGCATTCCAGGAACGAAATTTGTGAGACCTGAAATGTTACCGATGATATGTTGAGCCATGTCTCCGTCACAGGGTTCATGTGGCTAGAAGCACCATCCGTGCGACATCGGCTGCTCCATTGCGCCGGAGCATGCAAAGTTATATCTAGGATGGCCCTTAAAACCCTCTGAAAAAATATTCTTGGATATGCTCTAAGTAGGTCATAAGATGGCCCATAAAACTCTCTGAGAAATAATCCTGGACATGATCCTCTTAAAGCCAAAAAGGACCCTAACCCTAAACCCTAAAGCCCAAGGGCCTACCGAGATAAGACATGCAGGCAAGCCGCGGAATGGCGCTTAGACCGCTGCCTGCATGGATCCATGCCAGCACTCTAATAGGGTTTAGGGTTTAGGGTTTAGGGCACAATAAACCGTAAGGCTCAACATCTTTGTCAACGGCATGATTGCAAAGAAGCTCCTGAGGGCAGTTACATGGTCCTTTAACATCGGCCCTGAGCAGGGGATCCCCTTTGTTAGCCCCTATATGCCCTATGCAAATGAAGGGCCCCCTCCAAAAGTGTAAAGTGCACTCATTCAGCCACTAAGGAAGTGATCACCAGTAAATCCCTCGTGAGACAAGATCTTGGCAATCTCTCCCACTCATTCTTGCTTCACCTCTGTTGTAGACAGGTGGGGGGTGCTGACTGAGTGATACAGATCGTATGGAGACGGTATCCTCAGTCGAAGCCTCTTTTACCTCAGTGCGACGTTCTTCCCCCAAGAAACTGGCAAGAGCCTGGTTTCCGAAGAAAGCCTTCACTTGATTTAACATAATATAATATAATATGCTATAATATAATATAATATAATACAGTACAATATAAGATAAGATAAGATAGTAAAATATAATATGATATTATACTATAATATATGTATATATATATATAATATACATGTCTATTATATATATATATATGTATATGTATCAGAGGTCAGTTCTCCAAAACATGATCCTGTGAGCAGGTCAAAGCATGCATGGAGTGCTTGCTTAGTGCTAGTGCAGCTTGTTGTTTTCCCTTGCATGTGTAGTTTTGCAATTCGTAACAATGCCAATGTTTTGGCTCAAGTACCGAGCTTGTGCCTTTGAGCACGGTAGAGTCGTACAGTAGCTCCTAGGTTGCTGTGCGGTCCGACCGGACGCACTCAGGCGTAGCTGCACAAGTGCTTGGACTCGCGAAGTCGTAAAACAGCGTGACCGGGCTGTGATTGCATTGGCTTAGTGCAAGTCCAGTGCTGGTCGACTTCACAATTGGGGGCTGTTCTGGGAAACGTACAGCTCTTGTGCCTACGGCCCGAGTGGGCAAGCATTGCTTTGCTTGTCTGTCGCGGTCCGTGACCTGGACGCGTGGACTGTGTGCCACGCTTGCGGCCTGTTAACCAAGGCGCGGCGCTTCGTGTGCCACGCCTGCGGCCTGCTAACCAAGGCGCGGCGATGTCCGCAGAGGTTGCAGGTCAGGCCGAGGGCGTCACCCTCCTCGAAGCGATCGAGGGTGGTGACGTTCCCTATCCCGAGCGGATGGGCTACGTCGCTTGGCTTAAGTGGCGTAGGGAGACTGGCAGCCGTCCACTGTCCAAGCGGGATGGGGTCAGCACTACGCCAGAGCAAGAGGCGGCTCTTTGGCGAAAAGTCATGAAGTTCCTCCATGACGCCGAAGAGGAGGACGAAGATGAAGAAGAAGAAGAAGAGGACTCCGAGCTAGTCCCTGAGGCCTCGGGCGCTGGAGGCGACAGTCCGCCGCGGGTGGACGTCAGCGCCGCGGCTAGGGAGCTGGCCATGGTCCCTACCGGTGCTGCCTATGTCCCTGCTACGGCACCAGGGTCCCGCCCGGCGGGACCGTCCGGTCCGCCGTCGACAGCAGGTTCAGTGCCAGGCACCGCAGAGGGCTTGCAGGCGGAGCTGCGCGCGATTTTCCGTCCAGACCAAGAACCGGTCGCGGACTACTTGACGCGCGTTTCGCGGATTGTCCTCGCGCTGAAAGCGCATGGAGTCACGGTGAGCTCCCGTGACCTTGACGCCTTAAGCACCAAAGCCACCCTCCTTGCGGATGAGTTCTCCAAGATAGGCGGGGACTGGCATCCTACGAAGATGGTCCGTCGGCTGCGGACCAGGTTCTCGGTCGCGGCTTTGCGCGGTGGCGAGGACCCCGAAGACGCAGAGGAGATTCAGCGCGAAATCCAATGCATCGGGGAGCTTATCCTCGCGTTAGGGGGAAAAGAAAGCTCGAGCCAAGAGAAGGTTTGGAGCTCCCCGTCCGATGTGCCAGTTGAAGCCGTGGGGCCGCGTTCCCCAGGGCTCCCACAGCCTGCGACTGCAAGTGGGTTGGGGGAAGGATTGGACCGTGGAGGTTTGCACACTGCTGAGGTTGCAGGTGGTCCTTCCGCGGCCCGTGTCCTGGGCGCGACGGACGGCGATTCCCCTTTGCGCGCGAAGCTTGCTGCGCTAGAGATGGAGATAGAAGCCCTGAAGCGAGGTTCAGACGGCGGAGGATCGCAGACCGGGTCCCAACACCCGGCGGGCGATCTCGCCGCCGCACTCGCCGCCCAAACTGAAGCGCTGAAAGAAGCGTTAGCGCAGAGGGGCGGGCAAAGCTCCATAACTACGGTCAAAACTGACCTCACGTGGCCGACGCTGACCGACGACAAGTCGGACGCGCGAGACGTTGTCCTGTTCTACGAGGAGTTCGAGGACGTCTGCGCGCTGGCCAACAACTGTCGCGGTATGAGTGCGCGCGAAAAGCTGCTAGCGCTACGCGGGCGCTGCCGCGGCTCGCGCATGAAGACGTACACGAACGCGTACCGCGCAGCGTGGAAGTCGGGAGAGGTTCTCTCCGATCCACAGGCGGTGTACGACCGCATCAAGAACAAGCACTTGATGTTCGGGGAATCGCGGGAGGAAAGAGAAGTCCGCGTGGATGGTGAGCATGCCTCCCTCGCTAAGGGTAAGCTCACAGGCCACCAATTCGAGCCTTTGTTTGAGGCATCGATCGCGGACCTTGAGGCGGTGGGTCTTGGGAAGACCCCACGAGAGTTGTATCTCTCGTACCTCCGCAAGATGCCCCCGTATCTCCAAAAGGAGATACGGAACGACAAGCGGTTGTGGCCCGGCGATCCCAAGGATGGCGGGCTGCGAGGGCCGCAGACTTGGGAGGAGAGCCACAAGGTCGTCTTGGAGTACGAACAGAGGGAAGCAGCTCACCGGGCTGTTTCCCACTCTGTGTACTCAGCGACCGGCTCTCCGAGCGCGGACCCGTCGGTCGCGCTAGCCGAGGCTCAGAAGGAGATTAAGAGCCTCAAGGCCGCTGCTAAGGCTGCTGCGAAAGGAGCAGCTGCCGCGGCCAAAGCTGGCGCGGACCAGACGTTTGCCGCTGCGTCGAAGGGAGCTGGCAAGGGAGCGGACAAGAAGATCTGCTTCCACTTTCGCGACCACGGGAATTGCCCGAAAGGGGATGCCTGCCCGTACAGCCACGACAAGGAGCTTCGCAGAAAGGCTCTCGCGGCCAAGAAGGGTGACCAAACCTTTGCCACTGCGAAAGGTAAGGGCAAGGGGAAAGGAGGTGGCAAGGCAAAGGCCAACGCAAAGCCTAAGGCTGCGGCCAAAGGCGCGGCAAAGCCACCAGGCACTGTTTGCCCCTTTTTCTCCAAGAATGGGTCGTGCAAGAAAGGAGCCAGCTGCGACATGGTCCACAACTTGACGACCTCAGGAGGGACGCCGGCCTTGCCTGCCAACTGGGCCCCGCCCTCCGGTGCTTCCATGTCTAACCCCTTCGCCGCGTTCAGTGTCCAGATAGGCAGCTCAGGCGTCCAGGCAGGCGTCTCAGGAGCCGCAGGACGCGCCGCGGTGCAGCAGCACGCGCTTCCGTTGAGCAAGGGCGGGCGGGACAAGTTCGCCACCCTGGACGATCTGCCGAAGGACTGGTGGAACCTGGCGGACAACGAGCCAGGAGGCTACCAGTACAGGACGGTAGTCCAGGTGCTCGACCGTAAGGTCGAGTGCATGCTCGACGGATGCGCCGGCGCAAACCACGTGACCGAGGAACTCGTGGTGGGCATGATGAACCGGGCTGCAGAGCTGGGGATCGGCACGGAAGATCCCGGCTTCCCGGTCGTGAGACTCGAAAAGTGGGTCCACCCCGAATACGTGCATGGCATCGCTTCGGGAGCCCCCGTTCCTCTGAAGGGGGCAGCAGTCTTGCGCGTCACGCTGCTGGAAGGCAGGACGGCGGACGACTGTCGCCCCAACACCGAAATTTTCGTGCGATGCAAAATCGCAGCCAGGGGGACGTCCGATTGGCACGGACTTATCCTCGGCGGCAGAGCATTGGACTGCGCCGGAAGGATGGGCCTGGGATTCAGGCCGGGTCCCGACTGGGAATCAGGATGCCCAGATGTGAGGATCACAGCAAGACCCGGAAGGACAGGGCCTACGCCTTTGAAGCGCGGTTGTCGAGCCTGGACGACGCGTCATGCACCGAGCCTGGGGGCGGAAGTCGTGAGCTCCTCCGCTACGACGGGGAAGAGCCGCTCGAGCTCTCGCCAGGCGACGGGGTGCTGGTGCCAGTCGTGCGGGAGTCAGGAGTCTCCGCAGAGGGATCCCTGTCCGAGGTCGTGCTTCCGGTTGAGTGCGGGGTTGAGGCTGTGCCAGGCCTTTGGCCCACAGGAGAGGGTAAAGGGTTTGTGTTGCTTGCAGCCCAAGAGTGTGACCACTCTCTCCAGCCGGGCGAGGTTGTTGCGGAAGTGCGTTCCGGCCTCGTCAGCACCGCGGCCTGTGGTTGTGGCGCGATTGAGACGGTGTTCGAGTCAGAGCCGTCTCCGCAGACATGTGCGGATTGTGGGGTCGCCGTTGCATCGGTTGACCATGACCCGTGCTTTGCTTGCGGGTCCGCGTCCAGGGCCGCGGCAAGAAGCTTCCAAGGTTGTTCCTCGTGTGCGCGGTCCTTTGGGCGGCTGCGTACCGGCGCCAGGATCGGTGTGCTATCGGTCCTTGCTGCGGTGACTGTTCTCGCTTCGGTGTGGGGCGGGAGCGGCCCGGTTGGGCGCCCTGTTGAGGAGCCTGGAGTGCTTACTTGCTTGGACCACCTTCCAAGCGTCGACAACTGGTGGGAGGCGCCGGGTGGTTACGCGTCTGTGTGGGGTAGGCGCCCTGCGCAGAAGGACCTTGGGACCCTGGCGGTCGAGAAGGCGCCTTACGAAACGTGCTTGCTTCAGCGCGCAGGTGAGGCGTGGCGTCTTTGGGACACGAGGGATTTGCGTGTGGCGGGAAGCGTTGCGTGCAGCGATGAGGTTCCAGTCACCGAACGCCTCGCGGTCTT